ATACAGATGAAAATATACTGAAGGGAACAATCCACTGGCAAGGCATAGAGTAGATGGATATATCAATGCTTTTTGTAATTCTGTTTTCATGACCTGTACATACCACCTCCACAATGATCCTAAGCCATGACTTTTTAAATCCCTAGGCATTCTAGCACTGAATGTAACGAGTAGTGCATACTGTAGAATAACAAACTTTACTTTTTGTGAATGCTTCCAGGAAAAGTAAATTATCCTATATCTTACTTTCTTGCCATGCAATGTCACCTTTATCAGTTTAGAAGACTGAGCTCACAAAAGTTCTGCAATTTTTTTCATTTATAATTCATATTCTTGTCATCAAATTATAGTCCCTCAGAGAGAATTACATGTAAAATATATTAAACACTTAAGCAAAATACAAAGTAAGTGTAAAATAATGCTTTGTGACTACTGAGGGATTCTACTAGCTATAAAATTAACTAGGAACTTGTAATCACTTTTTAAAGCATAATTTGGTGTGGACACTTCTCTTGCCCCTTTGCAATGCTAAAAATTTGATCTCCTTTCTCCTATTAATATATTTAAAGTCATGAATACTAACAAGACCCATATGCAGAGACAACGAAGAAGTAAACCTTAAGGCCAAATATAGTCCTAAATTACATCTGTGCAGTCTCACTGATAGCAATAGTCTTGCCAGAAAGCAGAGCGGGGTTTTTTTTTTTTTTTTTTTTTTTTTGTTTATTTTTTCCAGAGAGCAGCAGAAGTAAACAAAATCAACATAATCAGACCTAATTCAAGGTGAATTCTGTAACAACAATAATAAAGCTTTCCCATTTTGCTACACAGGCTGCTGTGTAGACTCGGTGGCTGTAGGAACAGGACAGGATGGCCAAGGAGGCTGTGGACATGTGGACATGTGACAGTGACTTGGGGACTTTCTCCTCAAACAAAGGGAGGAGGGAGAAACCAGAGGAGATTCTGGGAGGCAGAAGGGGCTGAATGGTTTCAGGAAGCCTCAAGAGAGCAGAGAAATCAAGTCAGTAAAGCTCATGGGAAACCTGGGGTGAAGGACAGGTGCTGGGAAGGGCAAGGGGACTGTGGCATCTGCATTTCTCCTCTCTCTGGAAATTTTTCTGTCCTCAGCTATGGGTCACCTTTAACCAGAGTTTGGTCTCCCCTCCCCACAGCGCTGCCACCTCAACCCTATTCATCCTCACTGATTTGCTTCTTCCCTGTGCCCTCTATTCCTGAGTGCTGGAGAAAAGGGGAGAGATGAGAGTAAGGCTCAAGGGATTAAGGCAGAGTTATTAAACTGGTTCTGGGGTTTCAGGGTAGCAACAACAGTTACTGCTAAGACTCAGCCTTGGCAGCTGCCACCATAACACCCAGGATCATCCTCAGTAGCACCAGGGGAGAACTGCTGTTTCATGATATTAAAGCAGATGATTTCTATCTTCTCCAACAGAGATGATTTGGCAGCCTGTTGTCCCAGGCAACTGCATACTTTGCTTGTGCCTAAAGCCCAGCCAGTCATAACCTAATTTATGTTGATCATCACTGTGAAGGATTAAGACAAAATCTAAGGTTGTAACTCAAAACTTCGGAAAGGACGTATGAAATAGGGGGAAAAAATCAAAGAAAAGGAAGAGGAAAAAAAATGCCAAAGGTGTTGATTAATAGACATAAATCTGTCAAGGAATCACAAAGGACATACTAGCCCAAAATGGAAATCAAAATAAAGCTTCAATATTTCATGTAATGGCCCCAGAAGATTCTCCCATCCTTATTTAAGTTTGTAGGACTGTAGGCATAGAGGGATGAATAAATGACAGAGTACATGCGGTACACAAGGTAAAAGTAACATATATAGCCTTTGCTAGCTGGCAAACACACACACACACACACTGATCCTCAAAACCCAGGAAATAATAAGACTTAACACCATACTGCTTCAGTACACAAAATGTTCATTTGAACAGAATTGCATTAGTAAACTCCAGGCTGCAGGAGGCCAAGCTGTAGAACCAAGACAATCACCGAAGAAAAGAGAGAGAGAGAGGGAGAGAGAGAGGGAGAGAGAGAGGGAGAGAGAGAGGGAGAGAGAGAGGGAGAGAGAGAGGGAGAGAGAGAGAAACAACATACATTAGAGATCAGTTAAGCTGAAAAAGTATAGGCAGTTTTCTTGGGAATCACTCAGAGTATCAACAAGTATAAAGACACTAGAATAACACCAGCTGACCCTCTATAATTTTTTGTCCAGTATCTGTTTGGAAATATAATTGGAACTATTTTTACTGAGTTATCTTTTCTTAGAAATAACAGGTTTAATTACTAAATGATAAATATTGAAATAGGTAAAGAACATATCTCCAGGTATATATTGCTCTAAATTTTCTTAATGATGCTTCCCTGAGAAGTTGTAAAAATGTCGATGGTTGATGAAAACATTGAAATCTCAACTTAAAATTAGCTGCTCTCCTTGAGGCCAGGCAATCCCAGGAAGTGGCACCACATGCATTTTAGCACTGGATAATACTTTCCTTAATATTTTGATCTCTGGCAGAGCTAGCAAATCCACAACTATGTTAAAAATGTGTGTGTCTGCTGCATCTTCCTGTCGCCTGCTTTCATCACAGTAGAGAGGCAAGTTTATTGTGAATTCAGACTTTGTATCTAACACAAATATTGTTCCCATTTAAATGTACATTCTTTCAAAACATCACATTATTTTCCTGGTGTTCATGGCAAAATGTCCAGTTTTAACATAATTCCCTCTCCCAATTCTCACACTACTGGCTTGCTACAGAGAAATATGAAGTGGTATGTGGAGCTAGCATTAAGCACTCCAGGAGCAACAGGGTGTCTGGGAGAGTGTAAGGGTATAAATCACTGTAATGAAAGAATTTCTGATGCCACCTATTGCTCATGTAGCTATTACACCCAATCATCCTGGTGGGTTCTTTCCCTGATAAAAAGCACAACTCAAATCTTGCCTACTTAGAGCAGTACTTTTTTTTTTTTTTTTTTTTTTTTTTTTTTGACCTTAGATTATTTTGATCAGGTTCTAAATCAACCAAACAAAAAAGAATTTTAACTCTGCTTAATGTAATACACATAATACAACTGCATCAAGCACCTGGGTACCATCAGGAAGGTACAACAATGTTCAAGAAACTGCCCTGTTCTTCAGCACCCAATGTTCAATCCAAGTATTTGGAGATGGAACTGGAAAGGACTTACTGAGTCCTGGAGTCCTAGACCCTGCTCTCTCAGGCAAGTCCATAGTGCCTCCTAAATTTAAAGTGAAAAGATGCAGCTTCCCTGCGATTCGAACTCTCAAATATGTTATCACCATCTTTTAAAGTCAGCATGTAGGCACCTAAATCTCTGGCCTATGGACTCCACTGAGACTATTAGAAACAAACTATTAGAAACAAACAGATTGCTCAGTCCAGGTCACAGTTTTCATGTGATTATTTTCTACTGCTATTATAGAAACACCAAAGTGCCAGTTATTTATGTGCAAGTCAGAATGAGATCACTCTGAGCAATTAAGGCTTGATTAGATACAAGGCTCTCAAAAACCCTACATCAAGTTCTACTGCTGTCTCTGGGAACTTGAATCTATATTCAAGGCAACATACAGGTCTTCTTGGTCAAGAAGATGGAAGAAAGAGAAATACCCAACTATCAGTTTCAAACATTGTACAAAGTACCTTAAAGTGAGTTAAGATACAGTAAGAATTTTACTCTCTGGTGCAGTCAGAGATTCACAGGAGTGTTTTACTTCTGCAGACAGAATGGCTAGAGAGAATACATGGCTGTTAATCCCTTGTTCCATACATCTGAACATGCAGATTAAAACAGGTGCTTCTTCAGGTAAGCAACACTGACTTCCTAAGATTGATTACATACCTGATTTCATGTCACTTTATGTAGCTGAAGATACATAATTATTAGTACACAGACAATTAGGATACAGTCTTCAAAATACAACTTATATATATATAGAAATGATATTTTCAGGTATTACTTATACATGTATAAATGTGGACTGATTCCACTGAGATGAACTAAAATTACAGCAGAAACAGGCCCACACGCCCAGCAGCCTGGCCCTCTCCACGGATAAATACAGAAGATGACACGTGGTAACAGGGACACAAAGGCCACACCTGAGCCAAGCCCCGGGGAATATGGAAACACCTGTTTGTGCTTCGGGAGAACAGGTGGGAGGCGGTGGATTGCGGGCTCAATATCCTGTGCTCGCTGTCACCACGAGCGCTTAGCAGGTGCCCCTGTGTTTTTTTTTTTTCCCGTGACTTTTATTACGGAGCCGCCGCCGCTTCGCGCCACCCGGGCGATGCCCTTCAGAGCCGCGCGCTGCCGCCCCGCGCGCCCCGGCGGAGGCGCCCGGCGCTCGCCGAGCCTGGGCTGAATTCGGGAGCCCGAATTAAGCGCCGCTCGCGCGGGGACTCCGCGGCTCCGCGGCGCGGGAGGAGCGGAGCGGGGC